AGGAACAAAAGGAAGTATAGAAATATCCTCAAAACATAAAAATTGGTTAAGCCTCCAGCAACTGTTACATTTTTCTTCTTCTTTTTTTTTTTTCTTTTTTTTTTTTTCTTTTTTTTCCCCTATTCGATCAATCTATTTCAAAATTTCTTTCATCTTGAAATCTCTAGAATGTGTCCTGCCCCAGTACCTCTCCTGTCCTGCCCTTATTTGGTAATCTGTACTCAGCTGGAATTCGAGGCTGGTGGCATGTCATTGCAGAACAATATCATGGAATTAATCTGGGTTTCGATCAACATAATGGCTGTGACATGGCCAAATGTCATCCATATTTGCTTATCTTGTAAGCTCATTCAGTCTGGCTTTATATTCTTTTCCATGGGAATAAGTATGGCTAGGAGAAAATGAAGTTTGAAAACAAATGAACATGTATATTGTTTTATAGTCTAGAGTTATATAGTCTGCTACCAACAGAAAGAATTAGTATTATTTCTATCTGTCTATTGGGATATAAAAAACCCTACAAGATGATGCAGTTGGAAGAGTGGGGGGGGAGGGGAAGGAAGGGGAATATTTTGTTGGAAAGGAAACTATATGAACTCTTATTTCAGGGGATTGTAAGGGAGTATGTTTAAGTATGTCATAAGAATGAAAATGTTATCGTATTTCAGGAGATCCTTCTACTTAATGACATGAAGATTATGCTTCCTAAATGTGGGGACAGATTTTTTACTTCACCTGATGTCTGTTGAGTGCAGTAGAGCAAGACTGCAGAGGAGTTAGTTACGGCTCACAGATTATAAGGCCAGTGTTAGGGTGACCTTGGGGCTTGGCAGAGTTAAAGTAGCATATGAAGTATATGAGCTAGAGCCATCTCCTAGAAAAGGAATGGTAACACTTTGCCAATACATTTAGCTGTCCCAAGCCCAACCCCCTATTAAAGAGCCTGAAGAGAGCTAGTACTCCAGCAGATGGCTTTTAAGTCTCCTCGCCGGGTGGTAAACCCTTGGGCCATGAGGGGTGAGAGGGGCAGCCTTCTAGCCCTGTGCTGTCAGAGCAGTGTGAGATCTTTGACTTCCACGAGACCTTAAGCACCCTGTCTAATGACATTTCTTTTTGTCCAGCAGTGGGCTGTGGGGGTGGGAAATTATCTACAATGATCTTTCTTTTCATTTTAGAGAAAGGGGAAAAGTTAGTTGGATTGAAAATAGGCTTTCATCAGCAGCACAGATTACCAGTAACATCTTTCATTCAATTTTATATTTTATGTCATTCTCTCTAATTTCTTTCCAGTGCTTTCTCTGCAGATTTTCCATTCCAGTGGGTTGTGATATAGTTATATATGTGTTTCTGATTTTATATTATATCATACTGACAGTTCATAAAGTGCAAAATACCAGTGAGACATTTTGGTAGGACATTTTAGCTTTGTTCTGACTTTGAGTAGAATGAAATATGTTCTGTGAAAAAAAGAATTTATAGAGGTAATCATCTGAAGTGATCTCTTTCAACAGAACTCTTAATTCCACACTTTGTTTATATACAAAATAAACCTTTACTAGAGATATGGGTTTGACAAGGAACTGGAACCTTTTCTGCCACAGCGTGGAAACTGCCATAGTATACAAATATGTAGAATACAGCATTAGACTATAAAGATGTAAAATCTTGTCAGTTTCGTTCACAGATGTCAATGACTGAGCTATGAAATGGAACAAGTTCAATGAATATACATCTGTCTTTTTCATGATCATGTTTCCAAGTACTAAATTTTTCTGCGTATGCACTTCTGTAGAATGAGATGTCTCCTAGTGTGTGCATTTATGCTCATTCAAATTTTCTCTTCTGTATTCCCTTTGTATATAGGAAGAAGAGACATTATCTGTATAGATATGTATGCCAAAAAAGAGTAGACAGACGTATACTATTTTTACTCTTGTTTATGGAGAGTCAGGGGGCTGTGGGGTGGCAGCATGAGACAAGGCTGGTGTTGCCCCATTGTACGAGACAATGGTTCCAGCTGGCTCCATGGGTCAGCTTAGGGTTGGGCCCAACAGCCACCGTAGAGGGCTGGGGAAAGCCAGGGGAGGGAAGGGCAGAAACTACTGCACAGAGAAAGGAGAAGGAAGGACAAAAACAGGGGAGAACAATAAATGGAACATGATCAGAGAGAAACGGGAGGGGATGAGCACCATAGTGAATGGAGGACACATACCAGAGCAGGTGAATAAGCCTGAATAAGCCCTGAAGGAGCTGTGGGGAGCTGTCTCACTCCAATTTATAGAAAGGAGAGGAGGTTCTTTGATATGTGTATATCCTGCGTGAGATTAAGAAACAATGGTTCAAATGTTGGTCCAACCAGTTTATTACAAATCTTAATCAGGGAGATGGGGAAGGGGAGGACGGCGACTATTATGAATTAGGGTAATGGGGAAGGGGAGTAATAGAAAAGGTAGGAAAGAAGCAAGAATTGTAAAGCGGGGATAGTCACCACCAGGATTCAGCAGTGGTCCTGTTGCACACTGTTCCGATGGTCCGAGGCAAAAGTGTAGGGGGAGAGCAACAGCATCATGGTCGGCCTTGGGCAGCAAGCAGGTAGCAGGAAGAAGCCACAGAGTAAGTCCGGAAGGAAGCAGCAGGTCTCAGGTAGTGGGCCCAGGAGAGAGTCTGACAGCATGCAGGCATCAGTTCGTGAGGCTTCTGATGACAGACACCTTTGTTCTTCTTCTTCAGCATGCAGGCATCGCATTGTGAGGAATATGTTGTCAGAAACCTTTCAGGGGCAAGCAGCAGCAGCATGGCTGGCCTTAGGTAGCAAGAGGGTGCTGCGACAGAGTAGGTCCAGGAGGAAGAGAGGCAGAACGTGAGGCTTCTCATGTCAGAAAAACCCTCTTTTTCTTCACAAGGAATCTGTTGTCAGAAACCCTAAACCTCATGATTGTAGGTCCCCTTTTTATCCTTCTTCTACCAGCATGGCATTCCTGGTAAAAGTCATGTGCAGCACCTCTTGAGATAGCCATCTTCCTCGAGATAAGCCCACAAAAAACTGCTTCCCAGCCATTAATCTGCAGCTTATCTCTCTATCTCATTGCCCCTGGCCTTGTCCATCTGTGTCCCTCAGCAAAGGATTTCACAACCCTTGCCCAGGGCTTGTCCATATGTGTTTTCCAGGCAAAGGATTTCTCAACCCGGGTCAAGAACTTGTTAGGACTAATTCATTAGCAAACTTTGAAGCAATGGCATAAAAATAATAATCTCTTACAGGAGCCTATACTGAAGCAATGAAATAGTGTGAGGAGGAAGAAGAAACAGAGAAGCCACTTCTAACTTATTGTAACTCTGTCCTCCATGATACCCACCTACACTTCATTCCAGTCTGGAATAATGGAATGAAGATAAACCAAGGAAAGGGGGAGGACAGATGATGTTTTTATATGGTTTCCTTCTTCCTGTCTACTTGAATATTTTAATTGACAATAAATAAAATTAATTTTCCTTAACTTAAGTCAGTTTTGTCTGTAGTTGACACAAAAGCTTCCTCACCTTGCTGGGCAGAGAGGAACCTGATGTGGTTTAACAAGGGCAAATTTGAAGTCCTACACATGGGGAGGAATAACCCCATGCATCAGTACAGATTAGGGGCTGACCTGCTGAAGAGGAACTCTGCAGAAAAAGACTTGGATGTTCTGGTGGATCACAGGTTGGCCATGAGCCAGCCATGTGTCCTTGTGGCCCAAAAGGTAAGTGGTACCCTGGGGTGCATTAAAAACAACACAGCGAGCAGGTTGAAGAAAGTGATCCTCCTCTACTCCTCTACTCAGCCCTGGAGTATTTTGTCCAGTTCTGGGATCCTCAGTTAAAGAGAAACAGGGAACTTCTAGCAAGAGTCCAGCCAAGGGCCACAAAGATGGTTAGAATCATAGAATCACCAAGGTTGGAAATTACTTCCAAGATCATCTAGTCCAACTGTCCACCCACCAACAGTATTTCCCCATTAAAACATGCCCCTTGGTACCACATATAAATTCTGACTGTGTTTCATCTAAATGTTACCTCCAGAGACAGTGATTCAACCACCTCCCTGGGCAGCATCTGACTGCTTTCAGAGGAGAAAATTTTCCTTATATCCAACCTAAACCTCCCCTGCTGCAAACCTGTCATCCTATCTCTAGTTATGCAGGAGAAGAGGCCAACCTCCACCTCCCCACAATCTCCTTTCATGTAACTTTTGAGAGCAGTAAGGTCTCCTCTAAGCCTCCTCTTCTCCAGACCAAATAATCCCAATTCCCTCAGCTGCTCCTCATGAGATTTGTGCTCCAGACCACTCACCAGCTCTGTTGCCCTTCTCTGGACACACTCCAGGGCCTCAATGTCTTTTTTATAGTGAGGGACCCAAAACTGAATGCAGTACTCAAGGTGCAACTTTGCCAGTGGTAAGTACAGAGGGATGATAATTTCCTTGCTCTTGCTGGCTATTCTATTTCTCATAAAAGCCAGAATGCCGTTGGCCTTCTTGGCTACCTGGGCATACTGCTGGCTCATGATCAGCCAAGAGTTGACCGACACCCCCAGGTCTATATCCTCTACACAGTCTTCCAGTCACTCTAACCCAAGCCTGTAGTGGTGCCTGGGGTTGCTGTGGCCAAAGTACAGGACCTGACACTTGGTCTTGTTGGATTTCATCCCATTGGCCTTAGCCCAGCTATGCTGTTCAGCCTGTCCAGATTCCTCTGAAGGGCCTTCCTATGTTCAGGCAGGTTAACATTTCCTCCCAGCTTTGTGCCAACTGAGGGTGCACTCAATCCTCTTTTCCAGGTCATCAATACATATATTGCATTGGACAGATCCCAGTACCAACCTCTGGGGAGCGCCACTCATGACCAGTCATAGCTGTATCTAACTCTGCTCATCATTGCTCTCTCTACCCTGCCCTCCAGACAGTTCTTTACTCAGCAAAGAGTATATCTGTCCAAGACACAGACTGCCAGCTTCTCCAGTAGAAGGAAAATATGAAATGCTTCACAAATTTCATGTCATCCTTGTGCACGGGGCACACTAATCTTCCCTGTATTGTTCCAATTTTAGTATACGTGCTGCTGAAGCAAAAACAGTCTGGAGCATCTTGCTTAAGAGGAAAGACTGAGGGACTGTTCCACCAGAAGAGGAAATGTCTGAGAGATGATCTCATAGCTTCATAAATATATAAGGTGTGGGGATCAAGTTTATGTGTTGGACTATTTTCTGTGGTGTGCAGCGATAGAACAAGGGGCACTGGTAAGAAACTGGAACACAGGAAGTTCCACACTATCACAAGAAAAACTTTACTGTGAGATTGATGCTTTGGAGTAGGCTGCCCAAAGAGGTGGTGTAATGCCCTTCTCTGAAGATATTCAAACTGATCTGTACGTCTTCATGTGCGATATGCTGTAGGAAACCTGCTTTAGCAGGTAGATGGACTCTGTTCTCTAGAGTTGGACTCTGTTCTCTAGAGATCCCTTCCAACCTCTAGAATTCTGTGATCCATGTGCATTCTCAGTCTTGTTTTTCTGCTTGTAATTCAGCTAAGCCCTTCAAAGCATCTTTAACTTTTTATACTAAAGCAGTCTTAATGACATGGTGGGTTTTAATTCAGACACTAAAGCATGCCAGAAACTATAGAACATGTTATAATTTCCATAATTAAACTTGCTTTCATGAATATTCTTAGAAATATTCTTATGCCAAGTAACCTACTGTAGAGGCAAAAAAGCCTAATTATGTCATCTGTGGATCATAATAATTTGGCCTCATGCATACAGAATGTTCTGCCCACATGAAACTGATAACAGGGTTTCTAGATTGATATTCAATGATAAATATTATTGTTAAATCTAAACTATTTGATATTATTTTCTCTGTAATCACATTTGATTTCTATATTTTCCTTTCTTAGTATTTTCCTGTAAAAAACACTTTTTATTAAACTCTACGTATATTTTAAATTAAAGTGAACTTCAGGCGTGTCACTTTGAAGTCCAATTAGAATTGACTTCACAAAAATAAATGAAATTATTACATTTTTTTTAATACAAAAGAAATAATTTCTCCAATGTTTTTCTCTGTTTATAGCACAGACCATATCGCTATTGTATACTTGTATACTTAAGACATTTTGACTTATCAAACTCAGACAAACATTTGGAAATACAAGTGTTTCTTTTTTCCCGCTGTTATTTATTTCTTTATGTTTATCTTTGATTCTGCTATTAATTACCATAGGAGAACAAAGGAAACTAGATTATCTATGGCTATCAAACAAGTAGCTTATTGTCACTGTGTATTGGAGATTTCAAAATAAAAAGATGAGATAAAACAGAGAGTTTAGTTAGCAAACGGTATATAAAATCATAGAATCATTGAGGTTGAAAAAGACCTCTGAAATCGTCTAGTTTGACCATCAGCCCATCACCACCATGCCCACTAGCCAGGTCCCTAAGTGCCATATCTACACATTTCTACAACACCTCCAGGGACAGTAACTCCACAACTTGCCTTGGCAGCCTGTTCCAAAACTGGAGTACTCTTTTTTTCCCAATATCCAACCTCGACAAATATTACTTTTGTGAGACTCATCACAGACTATATTTTTCCAAATAAAGCATTCTCTTGCTTTCCAGCCGACTCTCCAGTTGTATTGCTGAACACAGTACCATATGATATGGGTTATCCCTTTGGTCAGTTTCGGTTAGTTGTTCTCCCAGCTCCTTGTGCACCCCTAGCCCCAAGTCAGCTTGAGAAGATGAAAAGGCCTTGACTTACATAGGCACTGCTCAGCAACAACTAAACCATCAGTGTGATATCAACATTACTTTTTTCTTGTAAATCCAAAACATGGTATCATACCAGCCACTATGAAAAAAATTATCTCAGTCAAAACCAGAACAATATTCATTCCCTTATTCCATATCATGTATATCATGCTCAGACCCCACACTTTCCAGTACATACCGATTAATTACCACCTTTCCTATCTTTCGATACAAAAACACAGGTATCATTTTCTGTTTGGGCCATCCCTGTAAAATATCAGTTAAATTTGTTTAGTCCATGACTCTGGTCTTCATCTGTCATAGCACTCCTTCAAGACAGGAAAGAGGCTGCATTATGATGGAATGTTGCATGCTAAATCCAGTTCTGATTCCACCACCATTTGTTGTGCTTGTTTCCATCAGAATTCATTCTTCATTCATCTGGGTGAATCTAACTGTAAGTCCATCAATATGACATATAGAAACCATACTAATGATGATGTAAAGCATTATATAGCAACTAACTTCATACAGTTCAAATAATTGTTTATTCTCACCCAATTTCAAATTGCATTGAGGTACATATTGAACTTATCCATTCTTCTGCATTGCCCACCAAGTGCATCCAGGTCCTTGGATAAAAGCAATCCCACTGATAGACTTGCCTTTTTCTGAGTCTCTGCAACTTGTTGAGTAGGACTATATACATCAGCCTATCACCTTTGACTCCCACTATCTGACAGGACCTGTCAGTAAACAAGGCATATTGCTTCTCATTCTCTGGCAGTTTATTTTACAGTGGGGACTCTTCAGCATGCATCACTTCTTCATCTGGCAGTATTCCAAGATCTTTGTCTTCAGGCCATTCCATAATCATTTCTGAGACTCCTGGATGATTGGGATTTCCAGCTTGTCGTGTGATAAGTGTGATCCATTTAATCCATTTACCCCACATAGTATCAGTTTCATGGTAGTGGAGGGACTGTCTCTTTAAACATCCAGCCCAGCACAGGCAGCTGGGTGCCAAAAGGAGCTGTGCTTTAGTAAACTTCTGAAGCAGCTCAGACCTCTTTGTATGCTGCCAATCTCTCTTTTTCATTTGAAATATAGCAGTCATCTTCTGTATCCTTGTCTTCAAAATCCTAGGGGTCAACCTCAAGTTTCTTCTGGAGCTTTCTGACAGAGGCTCCAAATGGGACCATTTTCCCTTTTACTTTTGTTCTACTTGGACTGGTCCAAGGGCTACTTCATCAATATTTAAACTAAAATATCTCCTTCAAGGTGAGAATGCAACGTGCAATTTCAATTGCTGATTTTTAAATTATTCTTTTTAAAATTTTTAATGCACCTAACCCCTTTAAAAAAAAAAAAAAAGCATAATTCACTGAGCTTACTGAAAATGAAAGAATTTTACTTTTGTCTTACCTTTTTTTTATTATTATTATTTGTTTAGTCCTTTTGAAAAGGGATCATTCTATTATTAGTTGTACAGAAAGCTAAGCAAACAAGTGAATTGTATGGATCATCTTCTCAAGCCAATCCAGACAAACATGAAAAAGCATGATATTGGTATAAAGTTAGTGCTCTTATTTTTCCTCCTTTTTCCACTCACATGATATGAAGTTAGTGGGGGTACTTTTGTGAATTTTGTGTGGGTATATTTTCACAAAGAAAGAGTGCACTGACCACATGGAGCAGCAACATTTTGTGACATTTGGAGATGCTGCACTAGGCAAGCTTATTTCAGCTGTTCACTGACTCATAGAGGCCACATAATCATTTACTGTTAGCATGGTGCTACAGGGGAAGCCTTTGCTATAGTGCTTGATGTCTTGTCACTGGAGCAAGGGGCCTGCCTGCTCATCTCTGACAGGTCTCCTCCTACTGCTATCTGCAAGCTGTATAGCACACAGGCAGTGGGCTCTGTTTGTTTGGCGGTAAACATCCTGGCCCTGGGAGATCTCCAATTCTGGAACAATGAGGCTGCGTTCCTTGGCTTTCTGTGTAGGAGACTAGTTAATTCTGCTTCAGATGACTGTATAATAAAGTTTTATGTCCAAACTCTGGATAACAGCCTTAAATGTTGTCAGTAGCAGCATATTTTGGCTGTTTTCTATTTGAAGCAAGCTTTGCCTCCAGTAGGAAGATTAAAAAGAAAAAGAACAAAAAAACAAACAAAAAAAAACAAAACAAAAAAAAAAAAAAAAACAACTTTATGTTCTATTATAATATGACCTATGGAATTTGTGCCTCGTATTGTAAATTCTTTGGAAGAGGAATCACATCTTAATCCTAGTGCTTTGAAAAGCATATTTTCATTATTCATCAAAATATAAAGAACAGTGCAAAAATAAATGTTTTCACTAGCCCCAGAAAGTCACAGGTGTTTACTGTACAGCAAACAGACATATTCTGGGATTATGCTGACAGAGCAGAGATTGTTTTGGAAACAAATTTTATTCTGAGATTTCTGGTTGAACAGACAGGGAAGAAATGATTGTAAAAAAAATGTAGCTTTTTGATAGAACACCCATGCAAAATTGTTTTCAATCTCACTGGAAATTGAGGAAGATCCCTTAAATTTGAAAAGACTTAAGTAATACAGAGGTAGGCAAGAAATACATATTTCAGGACCATTACAAAAAATAAGTGCTTTGTAAAAGAACATACCAGTATGTTCATAGCCAATGCTATACCAGTCTACAGCAGTGGTGGAAGAGAAGACCCAGGAAACCACAGGTCTGTTAGTTTAAGCACAATCTCAGGACAAGTTATGGAAGAGATTGTCCTGGGGGATGTTGAAAGGCAGTAAAAGAACAACACTGTGATCAGCCATGGTCAGCGTGGGTTCATCAAAGTGAAGTCCTGCATAAGTAATTTGATCTCCCAGAGTAAGATCATTTGCTTTGTGGGTGAAGGGAAGGTGGTGAATATAATCTTCCTATATTTTAGAAAGGTCTTTGATAAACATCTCTCACAGCATCTTTCTGTGACTGTCCAACAAACAGGTGAGACAATCAGGTTCATGCTATGCTAGGCAATGGACTGGTTTGATGATAGGACTCAAAAAGTTTTAGTAAATGGAGCTGTATCAGGCTGGTGGCCAGTCACTACCAGTGTTTTTCAGTTCTCAGTTCTTGGGCCAATCCTGTTAAATATTATTATCAATGATCTGGATTCAGAAGTGGAATAAATCTGCAGAAGACTTGCTAATCATACTAACCTATGAGATGCTGTTGGCTTCCTGAAAGGATGAGAGGCTTTGAAGAGAGATATAGATAGGTTTTAGCACTGGGCAATTGTCAGCAGCGTGAAGT